AAGGCCGTGCGAAAACCGTACCGCACCGAGATATGCAATCCACAGTGCAATGCAAACGCGGCGTCAATTTGGACACAGCGAAATGGAACGAAAAAGCCAAACTTAGAAATGCAAATGGTACAACACGCACACACGCGGATCGATGGGGTAGGGGGATGCAGCTACCGGGACCGGGAGATACAGCTGCGGCTTGGAAAAACGTTCATTCTTCGGCAAAGAAGAAGACGCTTAGCTCTGCTCTGCTCTCTTTCTTGCTCTAATACTCTCTTCTGCACAACGACGCGAACGATCGCGCCCGACGAATGAAAGACGAATGAATGGCCCCAAGTTTCGGTTGCGGCTTTGAGCCGCGCTTGGACAGCAGCCGCAAGTTCGAAAAGCTTGCTGCTGTTCGAAAATCGAGCAACTGCAAGAGAGAGCGGCGCTCTACGACAGCGAGAGAGGCAGGCGCTAGAGAGAGAGAGAGAGCGAGCGCAAGAGAATAATGATCGCAAGTTTGTATCGTGCAAGTCTTTCGTTTTGCTGTCGGTTGGGCTTAGAATTTTGTGGGCATTGATTTATTGTCTAACAATAACTGTGCTTTAGCATTGTGCTTTAATTTCGGCTGCCAGACAGTGAGAGAGAAATAATATTTTTAGACACCAGCAACTAGCGAATGACACACATCCATCTTCAGAAAACCTTTATTTACTCGTGATTTTAGTTTATTTCAATTTTGCTTATCTGTCAAGTGTTAATCTACTTGTGGATCTTTACCCGCTCGCTCTCTGATCGGCATTAACTTTCGCTGCCGCTCTCATTTGCTCAAGAAGACTTTTACTCTCAAGCTTGGCGCAATTACGAATCTCGCTCTCACTGAAACTCGCTCTCTCGCTCTGGCGCTGGCGCTGGCTCTAGCTTTAGCTCTAGCACCCCTCCCTGACTCCCCCTCTAGCACTATTTATGTTGCTCTTGCTCTTGCTCTGCTTTGGTTTCTGTGTTTCTGTTTCGTTTGCTCTTGCTCTGTTTACTCCACAAATTACCGCACCATAAGGCTGCTTCACTCACTCCCAGGGTGCTGGGTTGAGCCAGGTTTCAGGTTTTGTTTTTGTCTTTTTTTTTGTAAGTCTAAACTCAACTTCGAATGACTTCTTAACGGTTCGCCACTTAATGCCTCGTTTTTCGTTTTTGTTGTTGTTGTTTTTTGTGTAGTTAACTTTTTGTCGCTCGCTTCGGCTCTCACAGAGGGCCATCACTTCGGAATCTCCCCCCTTGTTACCCCCTTGAAATTGCAGCTGTTATTGTCATTTTGCTTTTAGCCAGCAGCTTCACCTCAGCCGCTCGAGTTCGAGAGTTCGCCTGAGCGTACATTTTCTGCGGTTTTCATGCGATTCTTTGTGCGCTCTCTCGCTCTACCACTTCCCTTCTGTCCCCTATCTTCCCTGCTAGCTTTCCTCTTCTTCGGTTGTCTTCCTTTCCTTCCTCTGCTTTTCTCCTTGGCTATCTTCATTGTCATCGACTTGCTCGTTCTCCTTATTGTTATCGCTGTTGCCTTTTTCTCTTTTTTTGCGTTTTTCTTTCGGCTAGTTTTCCCATGATGTTCGTCCACGCTTGTAGGGCCTCGCTCTGCTCAGATGCTGCCTCTGGGGCGGCTCTGTTGCTGCTGCCTGCCTCCAAGGTGTAACAATAATAGGTGAGGCTCTTTCTTACTGTCTGACTGTCTCTTCACCTTGCTCTCTTTTCTTCTCTTTTTTGTCCTAGCAACCCACAAATTGGGCTGCCGTCACTGCCCCACCTTATCGCGCAACACACCCTGGATTTTCCATGCCATTCACGCTTGTAGGGCCTCCGCTCTGGCTGCTGCCTCCTTACTGTTGCTGCCTCTACTTTACGCTATGCTGTCGATGCCACAATTCTGTTGATGTCGCCTCAGCCTTGCTCTCTCCTCCTGCCCTGCCACAAAACCGCAAACAGAGACCGCACCCCAGCAGTCGGCTGCCGATATGATCTGATTTATTGTAGTTTTCCCGTCTTGTTGTTGCTGTTGTAGTACCCGCCGTCGTCGTCGTCGTCTGTTAAAATATTTATTTACAATTTTCACAATTGGCATTTCAGTTCAGCGAGCTTGTCTCTCTGATTGTTTGATTGCATTGTTGCTGTTGATGTTGCTGCTACTGTTGCCACTGCGGCTGCTGCAGCAGCTCTCTCGACTGTTTGGCCCACTTTTACTTATGCACATAAATAATTAGACTGTTTATGTTGCCTTTGCCCCCGATCCACTACAGTCTGATAACAGCATTTGCATCGTTAGCCAAGTTTGCCCAAACTGTGTGCCCCAAGGTTCTTAATTTATTATGGTAGAGAGAGAGAGAGAGAGAGAGGCAGGCCGTTAAATAGAAGACATTGAGGCTAGGTCAAGGAACTCCATTGCGGGGACAGGCATCAAGTTAAGGACTGGCAAAAACAGTCAAAAAGTTTGACTAAGTTCCTTGGAGTGGCGCCCCCTCCGAACTGTGCGGTCAATTAACGCAGCAATCGGTTAAATATGTTTTGCTGCATACTTTACGGCATGCAAATATGATATTTATTTCGTATTGAATTATCGCATGCAAGTTTTTAGGTGTCACTACAGTGGTGGCTAAAATATTGGTACTACATGGGAAGCTAGAGTTTTGTGAATTTTATGACAAAACAAACAGAGAAAATGAATAGGAGCATTGTGTAACCCAATTAATCGAAACATCTGCCCAGATTCTGCCATTTGTGGCTCGAATCCCACAGGACAGTGGAGCAAGAAAACTCTGCAAATACTCCCAAATGTCATTAAATGTTTCTTTACATAATAAACGTTCCCCTGGAAACGATAAAAGTGCAGCCTTGCATCCTGTATCCTTTATCCTTCATCGACTAACAAATAATATATAGCTAGCTCTGCTAGTTGATTTTTCCCTCGCTTTCCTTGTGCACACCATGTTCATGGGTTTTCTTAGCCACATGAGTTCCTAATTAGCCAGCCATGAGTTGTCGATACATGAATTTTAGGTTTACGTTTGGATTTTCCACCCACTCCCTGCCCACCCACTACCCTAGGCTCCACTACTGACATAACAATTTTGGCTTGTCTAATTACGGGGCAGAGAGCGGCACACACACCGAGCGGAAAGTGTTCTTTCGGTTTGAGTTTCTGTCTCTAATTGCATTTCAAGCGATGCCAAACAATTTTGTGTGTACTCATGGCAGAACGGGGGGGACTCTGCTGTTACACTGGAGGGCTAGGCTGGGCTTGGGCTTCTGTGCAGAGATAATAAGCCGCTGGCCAGGGTGTCGTTAATTTGTGGGTGGCCCAAAAGTTGCACAAATTATCTGGCATGTGAAGAAAATTATAGAGGGCCGCTAATTGGCGCTGAATGTACGTAGCTAAGGTAGGTGTTGGCCTGTTAACTGCCACAATTAAAATCAATGCCACAGCGACCTGAATCCGCCACAAGGAAAGGCTTATCGTTTGGCCCATCGATTCCACACACAGAGCAGCAGCCCTGCAGCTGTCATTCCCCTTTCAAAAATCAAACAGAAAAGGAATTCGAAATTGAAATTTGAAAAACGTTTTCGACAGAAGCCCCACCATGGTCGTCGTTTACGGTGTGGAGGATAAGAAAAGAATTCCCAACTACATGAAGTACGTCATTGGCGGCACGGCCGGCATGATGGCCACTTGCATTGTGCAGCCCTTGGATCTGGTCAAGACACGCATGCAAATCTCCGGGGCGAGTGGTAGGCGCGAGTTCAAGAACTCCTTTGACTGCATTGCCAAAGTGTTCAAGGCCGAGGGCATCCTGGCCTTCTACAATGGCCTGAGCGCTGGTCTGATGCGGCAGGCCACCTATACGACGGCACGCATGGGCTTCTATCAGATGGAGGTGGAGTCATATCGCAATAAGCTCGATCGTGCGCCGCCTGTCTATGCCAGCATGGGCATGGGCATCCTGGCAGGCGCTTTTGGTGCCATGTTCGGCAATCCCGCCGAGGTCTCACTCATCCGCATGATGGCGGATAGGTCGGTGCCGGAGGCGCAGCGTCGCAACTACAAGAACGTCATCGATGCCTTTATCCGCATCACCAAGGAGGAGGGATTGTTTGCGCTGTGGCGCGGCGGCCTGCCCACCGTGGGACGTGCCATGGTGGTCAACATGGTCCAATTGGCATCGTATTCGCAGTTCAAGGGCTACTTTCATCAGTACATCAACGAGGGCTTTCTGCTCCATCTGGCTGCCAGCATGATGTCTGGCTTGCTGACGACCATCGCCTCCATGCCGCTGGACATGGCCAAGACGCGCATTCAGAACCAAAAGGTGATCGACGGCAAGGGCGAATATCGCGGCACTTTCGATGTTCTCTACAAGGTGACACGCAACGAGGGTTTCTTTTCCATGTGGAAGGGCTTCACACCCTATCTCTGCCGCCTTGGACCGCACACCGTCTTTGCCTTTGTCTTTCTCGAGCAGCTGAACAAAGCGTACTACAAGTATGTGCTCGGCCAGTCCAGCTATGGGCCGGGCATTTGATTGGATTGGATTGGATTGGATTGCTGCTCGAAGACTGTTCAATGTATCCAAAATTCCAAGAGCACTACGAATAACTGATACGAGACTACAGACAAATTACATTTTTGACACTTTATCACATTAACAGAGTCGTTTTAGGTGTGGGTTTTCAAGTGCTTTGTACTCGGAAGAGCTGCATGAAATGTTCCTTTGAAAATAAAACCCCCAAGCTCTCATATAATATATTCCTCAAAGCACCCCCATGCCACCCTTGCTGAATTTCTGGGCATTTTGCAATAATTTCCCACCTTCCAAGTTCCCTAATTTTTCTCTCTCTCTCTCTCAGCTTTATGCCGGCTGCCGCTCAGCTGTTGCTTTGTTGATCATCATCGTCGGGGCCTGGGACTGTGGGGGCCGCTTATCAAATTGACTCCATCAGCCGGTCCGGTCCGGTCCGGTCCAGTGCCCGATCCGAGTCAGTTGCGTTTCTACATTACGATCGAGCGGTTCGTTTAGCAAAAGTTTAGCGGCCAAGATTTTGTTGGTTTGCGGTTGCGGCTACCGCGCCAGGGACTGCGTTTGGGGGCTTGGGATTCCTATGTGTGTGTTGTTTTGGAATCTGAAGTGAGGCTGATGCTGAGGTTGAGTTTGAGTTTGAGGCGGCGTCTCTAAATTGAAGCCACTTAAGTAAGCCGCAAACGGGGGATCTCTGAAAGAAAATCTCTCGAGGCTTGAGGCTTGAGGCTTCGGGCATGAATCAACCTAGCGGCCGCGGAAGTGTTAATTTAAAGTCCAAAGACGACATATAGAGAGATATATAGCCTACGGCTCTACACATTTTTTGTGTCTTTCAACTACTGTCTGAAAGTGTTTCCATTGTGCACAATAAATCGTGTGTCTCTTGTGATACACAAAAATATGTCAATGAATACAAATAAATCAATAATCAAGTGATAATTATTTATAGTGTGAATTAGACGGCGGAGGCATTGACAAATCCCTATCTCCGACGTGTTGTAAATCGGGGAAAATCGCTGCTCGACAGTGCCTGCCTCCAGGTCGCACTCAGGTGAGTTTCTTCAGATAAGAATCAAAATCTGTCGCCGGGCATGCACTCTTTATGGCCCCCGCACACCGCCCGGCACCCTGCCCATTGTTTTTCTTTTTATTATTATGGCACAGTGCGCCACTTCTACAGATTATTTTGATAAGGCGCCACTCTATCGCTGACGCCGCTGATCGATGGATCGACTCGACACTCTTATAAGTAATTTACAAGCGTTCCATTGATTGACAAGTGGAGGTGTGGGCATGGATGGCATGCACAAAAGTTTGCCATGAAGTTTATGGAGATTGAAGGTTGCTTTATTTCAATTAGATCATAAATATTGGACGTGTATACGCAGATGAATTGGCGCCTTGTCTGATTGCTTGGCTAATTATGGTTCAAAGTTCGCAGTAAACTGTGATCTCTCCCATTTTTGACACTTTGATTACTGCCTGCCACTGCTCCAGTTAATTGTGGGCCAGTGGTGTAATTTATCGGTGCATTTCGCCCCCATCCCACTGACAATAGAGAAAAATCTCGCCGTAATATTTGCCTTTAGATAAGAACGATCATAAAAAGCGCACAAAGCTCATTGTGCTCCAGTTTCTATTTAATTATTTTCTGTTGACTCTTCTTAGGGCAATTAAAAGTAGCCTTTTGTTTGCCATGTTTAATTTTTGGTATTGTTATCTCCACCCACGGCTTGATTAAAGTAAAGCCAAAACGCAAATAGAGGCACTGAGATTTTTTGTCCGAGTATTTGCTGGGAGATTCTCCAACATTTTGTTAAAACAAAACCAGTTCGAATGAGATGAGATGAGAGAGAAAAATTCAAATACTAATTAAATTTAAATTTAATGAAAATGCCTGAACGCTTGCACGTAATTGCTTTTTCTCGCGTTTGAAGTTTGATTTTTATTTGGAATTTTTGCATTTTTCCAACCCGCGCAAAGACAGTTATTTGAACTAGAAATTCTAATTAGTTGCCATGTTGTCAGAATGGAATATTAATTGGTCAACGAGCGAGTGAAACACAAACAATGTGACACTGACTTCCTCTCGCACTAACACGCATCGCTTGGCTTTTGATTGTTGAAATTTTAATTGGAAATCAAGCGGCAAAAATCAAATTAAAATGCCATTTCTTCCATCCATTTTACCCTCCAAATGGCAACTCAATAATGCAGTTAGTGTTTGGTTAGAGCGATTAATGAGCGGACAATTGGTAAGGCAAACCGAGATGTGTGTCAACAAAACAAAAAACTGAGCGCGGTCCGGCGCGGCTCCGACAATGTGACAATATATTTACGCAAAATATAACGAATAAATAGTGAACAATTTAATTATGCATACAAGTCAAATAAGATGAGTTGGACAGAGAGAAAAGGGCTTGGGTCGAAGTGGTAGATACTCTTTATAATTGATAGGAAGTAATTGAAATATTTGTCTATAAATAGGGTGCAATAATTATAAAAACTGCAAACTTGCTCCTAGTCTTTGACTTCATCTCTTTCCATAAATTAATAATTCCATAAAAAAGCTAACAGCTCGCAATTAGGTCCCCGTGCTTAATTAATTAAATAACTTTTATGCATAAATATAGTTGCTTATCGAACCAGTTATGGGAAAAAAAACCACTTTAAACACTAAATGGGAATGCCCTTTACAGTCACTGTTTTTACTGAAATATACTAGCAAGTGGAGCAGATAAAATTAATTGTTGGAATCAGTTCAAACACTTTTTGGTATTCACATAATATCTAATTAAGTGGAACTAAATCATGTTTATCCAAAGCTTGGATGACACCATGCATGGCCATATGCCTTGTCAAAGTAATTGTGCTCAAAATTACACTTTTAATTTTTTATTTTTTTTGCCTTTTGTTTTGCAAATTGATATAACAAATGTGATAGTGTCATTACCATAGGCATGTCATAGCCTCCTAACCGGCAGACAAAACCGCACGTGATCCAACACCCACACACACATAGAATCGCATCCATAACTGGTTTAATAGGCACCGATCTGTCGCCTGTCATCGCGACAGACTCAGACACAGACGCGCGTCGCCGCGAGCTGGCTCAGCCATCCCGCTTTGATCACATGACAGCAGCAGCAGCAGAGCTGTTGGCCTTTTCTGTATGTTTTGTGTGTGTGTATTTTTTTTCGTGGAACATTAAATGCAATTAACAAATAAGCAAATGACCAAATGCTCCAGTCGAATTAATAATAATAAAAAAGGCCATCTTTAAGAACGCACGCGAACGCAAGGGTCAAAGGTCGTGCGCCAATATTCCTTCTTTTTTTTTTTGTCTGGTGAACCGGCGCGGCGTAAATTTCACATGTCATCGGGCATGATGGAAAAGAGAGTGAAAAAGAGAGGGAGCTCGAGAGATAAAGAACTGTGAATATGGGCTTCACCCCCGCCATTACAGTGCTGAGCAAACATATGAGAGCGGTGTCACAACGAACGGATACCCTCTACTCTGATTTATGCATGTTTCGTGCATTAAAATAAGACACATAAATGGGGAAACAACGTAAAAATACATGAGAGCGTTATATTAGTATTGAAAATACCCTTTAATATTAAATATATTAAATGGTTATCGATAACGCAGGTCTCACAACTCAGCTTCTTCTTCTGATTATCATACTCTACCAGCTACAGGATAGCAGATAGGCATGCAGCCATTAGTTCTCCACTCTTTTGTTCGACACCTTTTCCACACACACTCGCTGTACACTTGGATACCCTAACCATTACCAAGCATTATAAACACATTGTTGTTGTCATGTGATGCCGACATCTTAAAGCTCAATCATTATCATGATGCCCATGATGATCCCAGATGGATGCGTACACACTCGTGCATGGCCACAATTTGTCTACGGGCGAACCGGCGAGAGTTGCAATTTTCGAATTAAGACAATTGCCACACGAATTATGGAGACCAAGATGCCCCCGGATAGATGAGGCGACCCACGACATTTGTCTCAATTTTATCTCTTTTTTCTTTTTGGTGTGCAAAAATCAATGCCAAAAGTAATGCAAATTTGTAGACTCACGTTTTTTTTTCCGTTGTTTTTTGTGTCCTGTTCTTCTCTGCGGCTGTCCCGAAAATAAATTGAATTTTAAATGAGGGACACAATCCAGGGCAGCAATTTTCATCAAATATTCAGACATCAGACTTGCAAGATGCTCTTCAAATAAGAAATTGTATTAAGTCGCGGAATTTTTAGTTTTTTGGAGGCAAAATACGGCGAGTAGCGATGAGAAACAAGCTGATCCGCGTATCGATCAAGGTGTATCGGGACATCGATATGAGCTTGAATGCCACTTGAATGGCAGAAATAGATTTGAAATAGAACGGAGGGTAAGATTAGTTCCCTAGCCTGATTTTTCCGAGGGAGTGCAAGCAGAATTATAGATTATTTTTTTACAAAACGAACCATCGATCGCTGCATCTCTTGAATATCGATTAGCGAAAGTCTTTAATATCGATGATCCTCACCACTACTGAACAGTCGGACGCTGCGTTGCCGCTATTATTGCGAAACTTCGCGCGAAAAACGAAAATAACAAAAGAAAAAACTCGTGTAACAGTGACATTCAACAAGTTTTAACAATTAAATTGTCAAAAACCACATTTACCTAACGTAAACAAGAGAGTATGACCGCAAGAACAAGGAAAAATCGTGGACAAAGGCAGTGTCAGGGCCCCTGTTGTTTTCCAACGCGAAGCGTCGCGCACACACACGGACACAGGAGCACCCGCAACACAGCCACAGGGGAGACATGCCGGCCGGCCGGGCGGCCGACTTGTGGCAGGCAGCACATCAACGGTAATTTTCCAATTGACGCCTATTACGGTTAATCGTAGCAGTGACCCAAGCCCACACTAAACTTAAACTAATAATGTGCACAGTTTAATGGCTAAGCCGCAGCAAATCACACCCTCCCCGCAATCCCACAAAGTGTCTTCTAACCTGCAGTCGCCCTTCCCTGCCCCTCATCTGTGACCAATACAAAGCCTGCCTGCTCTGGCACCCTCTACAAAACCGCTACAAGACCGCACGACATGTCCGTTCATGTCTCGCATCTCGCTGCTCCCTCTCTTTTGCTCTGGCTCTTCATCCATCCGTGTGTATGTGTGCCAGTGTATGTCGGTGTGTTGTGTTCTCCGTAGCCAAGGCACATTAATTTAAGGGTGCGGCAGTCTCCGTATACCTAATGCATATGCGGGAATTATTTATTTGCGCCTTACCTAGAGTTCAATTTACCTTGTGCCCAACTGCATGCATGCGTGTGTGCGTGCGTGTTCGTGTGTCTGTTTTCTTCTTATTCTTATTAGCACGCTAACGAACGGCCAACGGGAGTGCTAGGCGGTGGCTTTAGTAATTCGTCGCTGGAATTAGTCGCACCGCGTAGGTCAAAGCAAGTGGATTAAATGGCATCGGTAGAACGGTTTACCCACTCCCAATCCTTCCCCTCGTAGGGAGTCCTGCTTGTTGTCCGGCCACGGCCAATGAAGTATTCATTATCCTGGGACAAGCAATTAGCACGTCACCGAAAAAGGGTCAATGCCGTCTCAAAGGATTCCCTCTTTGACTGCTCATACGATTCGTTGACCCCACCAGCACCACTCCGCCGCACCCCAGAGAATTCTCGTTTAATCAAGTCGTTTACGGGTTTCGTTCGGTACGGTACGGTTTGCGGACTGCGGGGCCCCGGTATCCGGTATCCTGTTTTGTGGGTGTCGACGGGCCCTGCGCCTCGGCAGTCGATACGTTGGCTGTGTGTTCAATTGTCTCTGATTTTCACGCAAATATAATCCTGGACACCGGCTCCGGCTGCTACTTGATTTCGGTCCTGTTCCCCGGCCCCTCCCTGATTTCCGTGCCGGACTTTGGTTACTCCTTGATTTCGGTACCTTGCGCCGTTCTTTTCGGTGTGATTCAGTCGTTGGTTTGTGTTTCGTGACTTGAGTAAAGGCAAAAGTTGATTCATCAGGCCGCAGGACATGAACAAACAAATACTCGCACACACACATCCAAACTTGTATGCACTGAAAGAAATGTGATATTTGTCAATAAATCTAGAGCTCATCCAGAGGTTTTCTGATATTTTATGTGAGTGTTACAAAACTGAAGGAATATCTGTGACAACCTGTAGATTATCCAGATGGTTTTGAGCATTTTTTTGCTGTGCATGGATGTGGAGAGCTATCGTACCATTCTGGTGCTGCTTTCGTATGCGTCAGCAGAAAATAAAATAGTGAAAAAATAAAGCACAATACCAATGCAGCGACATATCCTTGAAGCTCTCTCACACACACGTGCTCAGTCACGCAAAACACCAACGCGAGCGCACTTTGACCTCATTTTGGGCAACGGCAATGGTTTTACGCTCGAGTGTGTGTCCTCCCACACACACACACACACACACACACACACACAGCAGCTCCACCTCCCCCTGCCCCCAAAACGGGCACGTCCCAATGTTCGACGTGTGTTTGCTCTCGAGAGTTTTTCTCGTTTTTTTTCTACCATAATGATTTCAGCGTGTTAGTGGCACAAACATGAACAAACATGCATTTAACAGGAAGCAAATGAAATCAATAAGTTTTGATATCGCCCTCCCCCTATCTCTCTCTCGCTATCGTTGCTTAAAACAGTATTCATGCTGCAGATTGCAACACCCCCGTGGGGCTTTTATTTTCCTGCAAAATTCGTGTATGCCCCACCAACCGCAGGATTGAAATCTATTGAAATTGTTCCGCCATACTCGTTAGCCACTTAATTTTCGTATAAATTGCAAGTAATTACGCCATTTTTGGAGAGTTAATAAAAATGCATAACTGAAAGAGCATTTAATTCAATTAATGCGGTTATTGAATTGATTGCTACAAAATACAAAAATTATATTAAAAAAAAAATCATCTTTTAAACGATGGAGATGATATTTTTAATCGGAATACGAGAATAATAAAATTAACATGCTCATTTTAGCTAATAAATGTATTAAGTGCAGGTGCGGAAATTCACTTATATAAATATTATTAAATAAATATGCAATAAAAACCTCGTTCGGTCGTGCAATAATGTTTACAGAAAGTACAAGGAAATTGTGCAAATGATGCCAATTTGTGGCTATGTTTCCGTGGGAAAGTTCATTTTTTGCCAGTCAATGATATTAAAGGTTTAAATTGGTTTGCGGTGTTTGAAAAATGTGAACGTAAAATGGTCGATTTCTTCTATTAGGGCAAAATAAATATCCAAACAAACCAAAAAATGTGCCTGAATTCTACAGCAAGTTTTAAATAAAGCGGGTTAAATACACAGAAAAAATAAAATAAAAATACAAGCAAATATAGAAATAACCAAACAATAACCAAACCAACCAACAACCAAAATTAAAGGAAACAAAATCCATAGAAATTGAAAAGAAGTTGCAGCCGAGCAAAATATTGGCCATGTTCAGTTTATGACATGACGTCGGGGTAATGTGTTCATTAATTGTTGCATATATTTATACGAATCAAACGCTTGTGTGTAAACACGAGTCTCGAGTCTTACCACTTAAAATGCCTGGCACGCTCCATGGGTCATTAAAAAGCGGTTCGGTATCATATCCGGAAATTTGCATAATTCCTCGGCGTTGACGTTTGAGAGCCAATGCACTTCGCTGCGCCCTGTCAAACAAAGAAACAACTAACAAAGAACATGATTTCTGTCACAGCAAGTGCAAGCAAATTAAATAATAATTATTTATACAATGGGCAAATAGCAGACAATTATAACACATATGAAGCAATCCAGCTGTCCGTCCGACAGACACTGCCTCTACCCCGAAAACTCGTCTCGAACCCAACGAGGCGTGTAAATTTCGTTTAATATTCTAAGCCCGAGAACAACTGCAATGTTACTGGGAAATTGTGTTTTGGATTCGAGTGGATTTTTGTCGTGTGACATAAACCCTGGCTAAATGAAAACATTTATAGTTCCATTTAATGGCTTAGAGATTCGGTTAGCGATGGACGGGACAGGCATTAAATCATTTTTAAAGTGCTTGCAAAAAATAATTAAATTTCATTACACGAAAATGCTAGGACAATTCTCGTCTTTAGCTTTACAGTCTTTAGTACAGTTAGACAACTGTACTGTGAGTATTGGCTTTAGTGGAAGTGAGGGAATGGAAATATAAAAGAGTGGTGAAGGGGTGATTTCGATCTAAAATATATCCCACTGTTTGAATTTTAATTAAGGTTATTCCTTAATTTAATTAAAATGTACCCCTTGATGATTCTATTTAAGATCAACTATAAACTTTACAGGGTACTAAAAGCTGCCGTTTGAGTCTGAAATTAAACTTCTTCAGGGATATCAAAGAGTTATTCATAGTTAAAGTTCGTTGCAGTATTTCTGCATTAGCTAATCCCCACTGTAGAGCAGCTTTGGTGTCTAGTGAAGCAGAAGACAACAGTAAAATGCCTGCAGCCTTCCTTTACTCTCCACTCTTACGCTCTGTCTCCGTTTATTCTGCACCCCCCTCTTGGCACCCACGCAGTTAGCAGCGCTGCTGAGCGCTCATTCATGCATCCTGATTTCTATTATATCACACATGTACACGAGCAGTGTATGCCGTGTGAGTGTGGGGGGCATAAGTTCAAACTTGTACATACGCGTACGCGACCGTGACGGCAACGGCATTGCCAACAGCATCAAATACTAAAACAACAATGGCATTCGCCTTTGCCATTGTTGTTGTGCTGTGTGTGCTCTCTGCCATTGTCGTCGTCGTCACTTAATATACAAATTTCAGTAAATATTTTTGCACACCCACCACACACCGAAACACAGAGCAAAAGAGAAAGAGAGAGTGTGTGTGTGTGAGAGGTACCCATTAGGAAGAGGGGACTGCAATTTCCGCGCATTGCACTCGCTTCAAGCTGTCGGGTCCATGTCATGACAGCACGACTTTCCTTCCTGCCCGCCGCCCCCACACATCCCCACTCCGTTGCTTACACAGGGCAATGGTTGTTCCTTCAGTGCCGCCTCCTTCGGCAGGGCAACAATTCGTTCAATTTCATGCAATCAAGTTATTTTAATTCATTACCCTTACGCGACCAACACTTGGGAGACATGCATACAAACACGACACTGCACTGCACTCATACACACCCGTGCATATGCAAGTTGGAAGAACAGTTACTCCACTGAGGCAATTGCCCTGGCCCCACCAACAGGCGGAGCAACGTGCATATGTTTGCTTTACGATAGTTTCTCGAATTTTGTTTATTTTATGGTAATTTAATAGTCTTTACAAACAATAATTAAAGAGTAACATCAAAGTGAATCACATGGAAAGTACTATTTCTTTAATAGTTTCCCCAAGCTTTGTTTAAACTCGAAAGAGTTTAATATAACATTTATCCAAGCATTTCCATACTTCCTGCTGGAGTCATCTCTCTAAGTTACCAACCCACAAAAACTTCGAGAAATCTTCGACAACGAATGCATTCTCGTTTCATTTTGTCTGGTGTGTCGTCTTAATGGCTGTCCTGCATGCATGTGCATTTGCCTTGCGACACTTGACGTTACAAAAAAGCTGCCGTATGTGTGTGTGTGTGTTTGAATGTAATATAAACACATGCAAATAACTACACACAGATACGATACACCACACCCATGCATATCTATAGAAAAGACTCACGCACGACTATCAAAATGTCAGACATCTGTCATTTAATTTAATTTGACTTCACTTTGCTTTCATTTGCCCTCGCTCCCCATCCTTCCCTCACTCCATCACTCTGCCTTCTGCCAGTGCGCTGCCTTGCCTTGCCTTGGCATTCTTTTTCTGCGCTTTCTTTTTGCTCGTTCTCCGTCTCTGTCTATTTCGTTTTTCTTTCTTTTTTTCCACTATAGCGCGAAAGGCGTCGACGCCTGAGCACAAAACGTGTAATTTAGTGGGTGGTGCGACGGAGAGAGAGAGAGAGTGAGAGTGAGGGGTAAAGAGAGCGGGCGAAGGAGTATTCCTTCAGGCGGCTGTTATTACTTAGTTGGTTGTTGTTCGCATTCCCCCTTTCGTCTCGTACTCTTTGCTGTTGTGTAGCGCGCACAACGTACGCGAGCTCAATTTAAAACGTTTTGCGTTTGCTGGGAAAACGGTAAAAGAAGACGGAGCTAGAAAGGAGAATGAGACCGAGAGCGAGACCGAGACCGAGCGCGAAGCGATGAGGAGTGAGTGCATCGATCAAGGAATACCCTTGAAAGGGGAATTGGAATAAACTTTTTTCGGCGAAAATTGAAGTGGATGAATGGTTGAAAGGGTGTGAAATGCATGTGGGAATTGCTATCAATGAATGAACGAACGAGACTGAATCTGTGTACGATTAATTTGAATGGATGCATTCGTGTATGAATGAATTAATGCAGCATTTATGAATAAAAGTACATAAATTAATGAAAAATTCCTGAATTAACGAATGGTTCATGGGTTTTTTGAGGTGTTGAGGGAAACCCATATACCCTAACCATTTTAGAGGGCATCTTTGAAAGACAACTTGACTTGATTTGCATAGGAAATTTTATTTCTTTTGAGCTCTAAGCTAAGTTAAACTATGGAAAAGCACACATCATTTACGTTAAGCTAAAACTAATTAAACTTGTACTCCCCCGGAAGTATAGAGAGGGAAAAACTACAAATAAATTATTAAGGAAATGGGGAAATCCCCGAAGTCAACTTAGTCTCTCCTGTTGCCTGGCCATCGCTTTGAGCTGCTTGCTGCGATGTTTCAGCTTTTGCTGTAGCGTTCGCTTGAACTGTGTCTCCCGGTTGAGGATCTCCAGATCCTCGTTGCTGCAGCTGCCCAAGCGTTGCTTCTGCTTGGCTATCAGTTCCTTTGTCAGCTGTATTTTGGTCCTGGAAATCTTAGTGTATAGCAACTGGCGGCGTTGCAATTCCTGGCGATGCAAAAACAGAGCGTAGGCGGTGCCGCTGGATGATGCCATGCTGCCGGTTGACTGTTGAGTGTCTGCCATGTCCGGAGTGGCATGCGTTTTTAAAGGACCCCATGGCCATGTCCTGTTCTGGTCTGTCCTTTCCCTGGGCTTAGGCCATCCATGTGTTATGCATGCATGGACTTGTTTATCTCCTTCTTTTTTTGCTGCCTGTTGGCCTGGCCCTGTGATTTTTCCTTGCAGGCCAATCCTTTGGGGTGTCGGTACCTGAGTGCTGCCCTGCCTGCCAGCCGACTTGGCGTCCCACGCAGGTAACGGATGGTTTATCTGTTTCCGCGTTTCAGGCCAAACTTTTCCACACACACACACATTACGTGTTGTTCCATTAATGCACTTTGGGCCAAAATCCCCGGCATACGGCGTTGAGGGGCTTTCCTTTCCGCCATGCCACAGAAAAGTTAGGTAAACTTTGCCGCTCGACTGACCCCATAAAGGAAGGAGAAGACACTCCCACACACACACGATAGATGGGCGTTTTGGGGGCGGCAACATCTAGGCAACTTCTCGGCCAAAAATCCAATGCAATTTTTGGGGCCATCCATCCATCCAGGCAGCACCCTACGACCCCCTCAACGACAGGATAGCACGCACGTCCTGCCCAGGCCCCATGGCATATGCATCAATAGTTTTGTGCCAGCATGCCACTTGACCTGCAGCCAGGAACCCCTCGACCACACCCCCACACTCTCCACACTCCACACTCTGGGGTTTATTAATTTGCATGAACTCTGGGTTCGGGCTATGGCGCTCATTTTTCATGCTGCCAGGGCAACCGAAAGCCACAATTAAAAATTGCTTATGAACGGAAATGGCAGACAAAAAAGGAAAGATGAAAACTAGAATGGAAAGGCGGAGATCCGCCTGATGATGCTGCTGCCACTGATGATGGAAGCGAGCCAGAACTTCTGGACGGGGAGGTCCTGCCCTGACTAAGCCATAAGCTATGGAAGAAAACCTCGCAAAAGTTTTCTCTAAAGGCAAAACTTAATTTCCTATTTCCCTTTTAGTTTCCGCTTGGCACTAGCCCAGCCCAACCCAAGCTTTCTCCTACTTTCTTTCTGGCCATTTAGTGTAAACTGTGCGCATCATTATTTTGAAATTTTTGACACTTTTTTCGCTTGATGGTTGGTTGTGGGGGGCTTGGGTGCTAAGCTACTTGTAAATCAACTTTGCAGCTCATGTGTCTTCCTCCCATCTAGAGCGAGACTTTTCTTGTGTGTGTGTGTCACATTTCCGGCGGAAGTGTAAGCAGAAAAGTTCGTTTCGTTTCATTCTCGTTTACGCTAAATGCCATCAAGAAATGCAGCGTCGTCGCTTCGTTCCCAGTGAAGACTTTCAGCAGCCCAGCATGAAGCTGAAGGAGCAAAAGACATTGACTGATGATGATGAGGCACGATGATGTAAATGGGATTTTAGTGCGGCAACTCCGCCAGAGTCCCCGCCACATGACAATAGTAAACTTCTTCTTTGTCGCCTCCCAATCATAAGCTGTGATAGCTCTGTTCCGCTTCGGTCTCTCTGGCGTTTTTTCTCTCGGCACGTAAATTGCCTCGCTGAATTTATTGTGCAATTACAAGAAAATCTAATGAATAGATTTTTATTCCAGAAAAAAAGGCAACGAAAGGAGAACAGACAGCGGCACAGCCACTACAGCTGTCTGCTGGATTGTTCGGGTAGAATTAAGTGCTTTAGTTACACCAACTAACTGTCGTTTTTCTTTTCATTGCCTTGCAGTTACCTACAACAATAACAGATACTCAAGATGGGACATCGACATTCCCCAGTCCTCCTAGTGCTGCTCTGCTACAGCTGCTCCTGCGCCTACGCGCTGAGTCTGCCCAACATCACAGCGTCAGAGGCTGCCGCTATTGGCGGCCTAATACTGCCCCCACTGGTAGTGGGCCCCAGCACCAGTGGCAGCAACAGCAGCCTGATCGGCGGCGCTGGCGGCCTGGCAGTGGGCATTCCTGCCGCAGCTGAAACGGGCGTAGGAGCCACCGGCTTGGGTGGCAACCAAGTGGGTGGCAGCAGCGGTGGCAGCAGCAGCGGCGGCCTCAGCGGCAGCGGCAACAACTCCGCCATGGTGCAGGCGCCCAAGGAGAAGCTGTACGAAAAGTGTACGGGTCCTGGTGATCCGGGGCCATGCAAGCAGTACATCTACAAGTGGCGCTACGAGCCGACAACCAACGAGTGCACCAACTTCATTTGGGGCGGCTGCGATGGCAATCCCCAGAATCGTTTCAGCACCGAAGCAGAGTGTCTGTTTCACTGCATTGGTGGACCGCGTAAGGATCATAGAGATTCAGGGCAGCAGCGGCAAGCGGAGAGAGAAAGATTTTACTTACCATTGTCCAGATTTATGTATTCCCAGTGGATCGAACGCTCTCTCCCTGCTGTTCTGCTCTTCCCAAACTTGTTCTTCTCTCTATTGACAATCTCTTTTTTTTGCAGACACATTGCCACCTTTTCTGCAGTCAACCACTCGAGAGCCCAGCACCACGGAGAATTCGCAGCTCATTGGCTCAGTGTACACCCAGAGTCCGGCACAGGCGGCGCTGGATGAGGATGGCAGAACGGGCGATGGCACCACCCCTGTGCCCATTGAGCAGCGCGGCCCTGAGCTGACGTTTGCCGAGACAGGCCAAGGCAAAACTTTCGTTTTTGCCAAGAACAACACGTTCATCCAAATGGACGGCGACATCATACAGACATTTCAATTAAGGTGAGTGGATGCACACGACGGATGCCCCCGCCATAACTCCTTTGCATATTTCACTCGCTTTGCACACGCTGCATGCAACATCAGCGCGTCATTTGGCGGATTGTTGGACTTTTGGCTCAAAGCTGGACTTGATTTTGCCTTCACCCTAGGCAGGTGGTGAGGGTAGGATTGGGGTTGAATGGATTATAAGGGTTTAAGGGTTATAAAAGGAGGGATTTAGGAGTTGTAGAAATAATATTTAGGGAAAGATTACTTATAGATTTACTTTTTTTAGATATTTCTTATGCAAAAATGCCGAGATCTGAGCATCTTAAATCTCTTGAATTACACAGCAAAGGATAAAACGGAAACAGTGAGATAAAATCTAGCAGCAGCAATTCCAGCAATTCTTGCTGTTGAATATTTCTTAGTGTTTTCCATCCGAAAAGCTTAAGTTTGAATCCCATAAATTGACGTTTACCCAACAATTACCCAAATTGGGCCAAAAAAGTAATAAATCTGGCGCTCCCTGTGGGGTTAAAACGTTGTCCAAAAAGCTGTTGCAAGTGCAATTAGCCAAAAACTGACATAGTTTCTCGAAATTGATTTTCTGCTTGAGGTACAAAAAGGTCGTCCTATCGATGGAGGCAAACAAAAACATTTTGAGGGGCAGGGGTGCCGGCAGCGGAAAGTTAATTTTCTGCTCAATTGCAGAGAGACCGACCGACCTTTACCCAAAGAAAATGACTTTTTGGGTTCTTCTTGGGTCAGGGAATGTAAAACTTAAAATTCAATTTGTGGGGCCAAAGCACATTGTGACATTTGCATATTAAATTAAGATAAAAAATATTATTTAAATGTGTGGCACAACATGCAGCAAGGAGCGAAGTCAGGCCAGCCGTTCGTTGGACAAACATGCAGGCAGGAAGGAGGAGGCAAATAAAATTAAACATGACTTGGCCCGAAAAATACCACGTAGCAGTGGCATTTGCTAGCGTTGTTAGTGTTGCCTGTTGTTACTGCTGCTGTTGGCCAGTTGGCTACTGCAAAGTACTTGACCAAGTTGGCAATTTGTGTTGTAGTTTTAATTGCAGCTCATGTTGCTCCCAGCAGACAGGAACACAACAGCAGGAGCGGCAGGATGGACCAGGCGCATTCAAGAGCAAAGAACAAATAAATTTTAAACTCTGTCAGGCGCACAATCACACACACACAACACACACACACACACACACACATATGCTAATGGAACAATTCCACCAGTGACTCACTCTCTCCTTATTTCTCTCTCTCTCTCTCTTCATAGACTTTGCCGTGAGATTTCATTTCAATTCCGCACTCGACTGCCGCACGGCCTGCTCGTCTATCACAACGTTAAGAATCCGGATCGCATTAATTTGGACCCCTATGCACTCTATGTGATTGTGGAGAAGGGCCAACTGAAGGTGGTCCATGTCTTTGGCAAGCATTCAACGAGTGTCACTGTGGGCGAGAGTCTGAATCGAGATGAATGGCACAGTGTGATGGTGAGTCTCTGTACGCTGCCCCCCCCGAAAAACCAGGTCAAGTCTGTGGGGAATATCATTTGGCCAGGGGAAAACTATGAATGCAGTTTCAGTTCCTGTTGCATGCAACTCCTGCAGCTCCCCAAGGGGTTGCCATGACCAGATGAGCAGTTAAGCTCTCTATGAGAGTGTCAGGGTACACAGGATTCGTGTAAATGCTGCTGCTGCTGCTGCTGCTGCTGCTGCTGTTGGCCAGCATTAGCATGGCCATGCGTTCAGCAAGCAATTAGCAAGATTGCAATGCGGAATGTGTGTGTTTCCCCTTCTCCACTCCTCCTGCATGTTCTAGGACTTTGCTCTGTGTAAAACGCTTTATCAAACTTTTATAACAAAGCGAGCAAGTTGATTTATGTACGCTCCCAACTTTGTTAACTCACCTCGGACATGCGGAATGATGGCAGGATACCCCACAGACACACCGAAACCCTCCAAGCATCGTCAGCATCATCATCATCAATAACAGGAGGCAGCGCAGGCAGGCAGAGTGCAGCCCAGTGTTAGTTCACGTATGTTCCATATTTAAAAACAAACATTATTCCCCACTACTAATCACACCCTTACAGCACAACGCAGGAATGCACGAATGCAGAGATATGTGTGCCCGACCCCCACACAGACAGGCACTCATAAATAACACGCAAATTCCTAATGAATTTCAGCTGATCCCAACAGGCAGCAGCAGCAGCAACAGCAGCAGCAACAGCAGCAGCAACAAATTTATCGCTGGCAAAAACTTGCAACTTCAACTCGTTGGCCAAAACGCATAAATTCATAAATTTTTATCATTTGTCTGTGTGCCCGCATCCTGCTTTAGTCTAGCTTTGGGTTTATTGGTTTCGCATCTCTAACCTATCTCTCTCTCTCTCTCGCTCTCGATCCCATTTCTGTTGCACAGGTGCGCATCGATGTACATGGGGCAAGATTAATTGCACGCGTCGACAATAGTCAGGAGGAGGTCTATCTGAAAGGACTGAATCACGAGTATAACTATGGCGTCTCCACGAATCTGCCGTCGGTTGTGCTCGTTGGAGGTGAGTGTCCAAATCAATTGTGTGTGTGTGTGTGTCTGTCTATCTGTGCATGTTCCCCCCACCCCCCTCCTGCATAAGCCACGCTCTCGCACACCTGTATGGTACAATCAATCATATTAAAGGCGACGCCCGAATGTATGCAACGATTTTTGTACAAAAACCAACGCGCAGGAGGAGCAGGAAAATCCCTACAAACATCGAACCAAAATATGTACATATATAAAAATGGTAAAAATCGCTGGAAAATGTGCAACTGAAAATGTAAAATCGAATTTGCAGCACACACTTTGGCTCATTTTCCATTGAATTCTGGAATTCTGGCTGCTTTATTTAGTGTGTGTGGCACGGCATGTCCTCCCCCACGATCTCTCTCTATCTCTATGACTTTGAAAGGTGCTTTTGGTGCGTTATTTGGAAATTTAATTATTTCACCGTTGCCAGCAAAGCAACACACACATAGAAAAAAAAGTGAAACGAAATCTGAAACCCCAGGAAAAACTGTGCGCGGTGTATGGAAGAGGCCAACACAGAATAGGCCATTGATTGCGGTGCCGGCTGCCAGGGTGCCGGCGGGGTTCATCCACACAGACTGACAGTGCGTTCTAGTTTTCCCGCTGCGTGTGTTTAAAGTTGAATGCGAGGCCAAGAAAGAGGCCAGCCACAACATGAATGCCACAAGGTTTCCCAAAGGACAAAGAAAATGATGGGAAAAACATTGAAAGTATTTCTGGAGCAAATTAATAAGCGATAGTAACAAATTTGTATGGATAACAATTAGTTGCAAGGTACCCAGTAGAGAAAAGAGTGCGGGGGCATATTAGTTGCATGTAAAAGTAAGGAATAAACCTGCAAAAACTCGTTTCAATTGAATCATTGAAATTGTAACTAAAATTGTACTGTGATTTGGCTCCTTGGAGTACTACCAATGTAAGATCTAGAACGCTTTTTGTATGACATAGAGAAGGGTCCAAAATTTCGACTGCTTTTATGCAACTTTCTGCAAAATGTAGTTGTAAAGTTAAATGAAGCAATATTTTGAACCACAACTAACTCCGCACAACTATTCCGCATTTCCTTAACGTAACATAAAAACTAAGCCTGAAGTGTGCATAAAAATTAACTGAAATTCTTTTGGCATGGCATGGCATGTCCATAGGAATTTATGTACCACAATCACATCAAATGTGTGTGTTTCCCTTATCCATGCCGCAAATGAAACTAAAGTTGCGTGTTTCCCTTTTTTCTTGCTGCTTCGGAAGCCGCTTTCAGTGTACCATATTTATTTAGAGTGTTCTTCTGCTGGGGCGGAAGCCAAACAACCGAATGGGTACAACTTTTTTAATTAAGCAATATTTAAATCTCAGAGCAGGGCCCGGCCAAAAATCCCATCAAAACTTTGCAACTGTAAACAAGAGAATTATGTTATGGCTCTGTCCAGAAATAGCAACCATATCCAGCTCCTACACAAGCAAACAAACACAACCCCTGCAACCACGCTCAGATGTAGCCACAAAATCCATTGCCAAATATTCAGCATGTTAATTAATCTAAAGACAATCTCAAGCACTCAACATCTCTCTCTCTCTCTCTCTGTCTTCCCTTAGGCCTTTCGTCGGAGGAGAAACTGCACGGCGTAAAGTACATTACGGAATCCTTTGTGGGCTGCATACGCAACGTGGTGCTGAGCTCTGGCAAGGCGGCCTCTGATCTGCTACCCATTGCCCCGCTGGTGGCCACCAAGCATGAGAACGTCAACGAGGGATGCTTCGATATGTGCGACTCTCGCCACAATTTGTGCTTTGTTGGCTCCCGTTGCATCAACCACTATGGTGGCATCTCCTGCGACTGCTTTGGCACCCACTACGAGGGCGAACACTGCGACATCTATAGTGAGTATCTCTATGCCATCCATCTCTGTGCTCGTATCTGTCTGTCTGTGTGTGTGCTTGTGCCCCTAGGGGCGACATTTTGTTTTAATTATAAACTATGTTTGTTTGCCTTGCGGTTAGCCACTGGCACTGCACATGGCTTACCCAAATCTCTCTCTCTCTCTCTCTCTGTGCTCTGGCTACAGTTTTAAATTACGCTAATGACCTGACCATAAATTATGCAAAATAGTGTTTGACTTTTTGACTGCCCAGCCCGGCCCGGGCCCTCCTGTTCGTGTGGTGCTCCTCAGAATACGACCAGCGCCAAATTAGTTTGTTAAGCTCCGATATATATCCACTAGCCAGTATACACATTCCAGCAGCGCCCCACTTTCAACCCATTTCGATGCCTTCAACAACATCCGACATTTAGTTAATGACATAAAGCCAATTCCAGGCCGCCATAATCCCAATTAAGTCACGCGAGACCATTATATGGGCATTGCCCATTAAAAATTGAGCAGCTCGTTTATGTTTTTTGACATTGTAAAATGGGAAAATCACGACAAGGGGCTGGTTGCAGTTGCAGGCACGTAGCTGGGCGTTGATTTTGTACTTTTTGAAAGCGAAGTTTGTTTACCCTTTTTGACAGGTGTGCGAAGCGTGTGAGGTTTTCATGAAGATGTTAATTTGTTTCCCCTGAGGGCTTGTTTAGAAGGTTTTTATACGCAACTGGAATGTTTCTTGTCAGGTATTACTCATCATAATTGCTCAGTTGTTGAGGTGTAGCTGCAGAAAATATACTTATAGCCTTGGCATGCACTTGAAAGATCCATTCACGATGATATTTCACGCCCAGAGATCACAAATAATCTCATTCCGCAATGCTTTCAATGTGCAGTCTTCCCCATTATCCATTCCAAAGATCTGTCACAGTGTTTCGGTTCCTTTTCATGCATCAAGCATCAACCTTTCCATCCACATCCACAAGCTCTGTCCAAGATCACCAGCTGCAATCCCAATCTTTCAATCCTTTTTTCTCCTACTTTGCCACAGCTTCTTCATTATAACATTATAGTCAGTTAATGCCATTGCCAGTTGAAAAGCATCGTGGAACATGCATTCTCTTCACAGATTTAGAGAACAATTTTGCAATCGTTCGCAATGTTTGCTAAAAATTTGCATGCAAATTACACCCACACACACGCACACCGAGAGAGAGAGAGTGAAAAAAGCCAACAAAATCCAGACTTTGCGGGTGGAAGCGGATTGAAATGAAGTGGATTTACCAGTGGGGAGTGTAGTGGCTTTGAAGTGAAGTACCGGGGCAGGACACCCAGCTATTGATGCAATCGACGGCTGCAAATTGCACGGTAGAAAAAAAATAAATGAGAGCTAACGGGCAGCACAGGACCCTGGCTCTCCCTGTCTGTCTAAATGGCGTCTGTCAAGGACAAAGAGCCAGCAGCGTGACGTGCGAGTTTGTCGAGCATTTACAGGCAGTGGCAGTGCCAGTGGCAGTGCCAGAGCCAGAGCTGGTGTTGCAGCTGCAACCGATCACAATTACGTAACGAACGCCGAATGGCAAGTGCAAGCAAATTACACAGATGTAGTTTGACGACGAACGGAAACAGTGTCAGGCCATTAAGAGCGCACAAATACAGACACACAGAGAGAGAGAGAGAGAGAGAGAGAGAAAAGACGAAGGTCCTGGCGGAACAAGAATTGGGGAACATAATCAAACGCAGGCGCTTTTGTAATGCAATAACTAAAATGACAACTGCCACTACGAGGAAGGACCTGTAGAGAGAGGCAACTGCATCCGGCACTTTCCCCTCATTTCCATTGAACATTTTTCGTGCGAAAAGTGTCAACGAAATGCGTTTGGGCCAGGCTTTTTGGGTTTGGCAGGGAAATCATTAGCCCCGAGTACAAGACTCGGACTACAAGATTTTTGGGGCTTCTTCCGGCATAAACGAAATGAAATCCCAACCATGAAAAGGACAGGCCAACAGACAGCAGCAGAAGAGAGGGAAGAGAGCAGAGTCCTGCCTGTGCTGTGCTGTCAGTTGTGATGTGGCCTCGTGCTTAGTTCAGTTGGGGAGTTGTCAGCTGAATGGATGGACAGCACAGGCAGCGCTGCAGTGCAGAAAATGTTAGATTTGGGAATGGAAAACAACTTCAAAGCAATCTTTCGGACATCCCAGTAGCTCTTAAATATGATATCCAACTCTCTGAAACACTTTTAAATCATATTTGTAGCGTATTTTCACACTTTAAATTGCTTAGAATAGAATTTCACTTAAATTTTGCGAGTAATTAATCATCATGAGCCGTGCCACGTCCTTTTCGGAGTTCAGGAGGACTGCCCCCACAAGTTTCATGACCCGCATGCAGTCGCAGAACGTGGCCAAGGTGCTGCTGTCCAGCAGGAAGGCGCGCAAGTTGCTGCCAAAGCGACGAATGCCCAGCTACCCAGAGTTTCGGCGTCTCATGAAGGCAGTGTATTTGGATCGTCGCGCGTCCAGAGATGCCAAGGGCCAGCCGTTGGCCAACATGGTGAGCATCTACAACAAGCTGGTGGAGATGCGGCAGGCGCAATTGGATCGCAAACATTGCAAGAGCATCAAGGCCACGATCAATTCGCGGCCGCCGATTGATAGCAATAGTCTCATACTGGAGCGGACATCGGTGCTGGAGGATCTGCAGAAGAAGCAGGAAATCTTTCGGCATAATCTGCAGCTGCTGAGCCGCATCAACAGGAGTCAGCGGCTGCACGGCATTGTCGACTGCTTCAATACGACCTACGAGCGTGGCCCGTCGAGTCGGCACAGGGAACGTGTCAAAGCGGAGCGACTGAGTCGCGACAACAGGGATCTGGGCTGCCGTTTGGCCATGGCCAAGTCAAAGGTTGACTGCTATAATCCATGGGTGCCGCCACTGCCGCCCATTGAGCTGAAGGCCTCGCAGCAGACGTTGGTCAAGTACACGCCGTTCATACCCTCACCGCAGACGGGGCAGATTGATCCCCAGGCGCTGCTGCGACCCCTGCTCTACTACGATCTGGTGGTGGGTGACAATCAGCCGCTGGGCCGCATCAGCATACAGCTGTACACGGAGGTCAGTCCGGAGGTGGTGCTGGAATTTGTGCGTCTGGCCACCTACAACGATGTGCAGGGCCATCGCTTTCTGCGCATCTTTGCCGAACTTTGGATGGAGGGTGAGCTGGTGCTGGGCTCCCGGGATGCACTGCGCCATCATCACAGCACCAGGGATCAGTCGCAGCTGGACCACACACGACTGACGGGTTTCCTCTCCTATGCGTGGGACTATCACCATCACTTTCCCCAGGGTTTGCTCAACTACAGCATTAGCTTCAAGCCCCTGGCTGTGGTCTCGCTGCAGCGTATCGTCTTTGGTCGCGTTTTTGGTGGTCACCGCGTGCTGCAGTTGTGCCAGGCATATGGCACCAAGAACGGCAAGCCCAAGAGTCATGTGACCATCGCACAGTGTGGATTGCTCTAATGGGAGTCCCGAGAGGAGTTGCCTCATTATCCTTTTGCACCTATTAGCATAAAGGTATACAGGTGAAGCAAGCGGTTTGTATCACACTGCGACACAAAATCTCTCTCTCTCTCCACTCGAACAAAATGCAAATACAAATTATGAAGTGGATGTACATTTATCTCTGCTGTGTGTGTGTGTGTCGTTATCACGAGGGCGTAGCCCAAACGTAGCCCACGTGTGCCGTGTCAGATAAGCCGGCCAACACGCGGCTGCTGTCGCTTTTCCACCCAGAATCTGCAGCAGCGGCGGCAAAAAACTGCAGCCAGAATGAATGAATGAGCACGAGAGGACCACGACAAGAGCATCAGGCGTATGCCCAAAGGCCGCTGCCATAGACCAAACAATATAATCTATTTTTGTGGGTGTGCAACTCGGACGTTTCTTTTTTTCCCCCGTTCACTTTTTCATGCCGCGTGCGAGGGAGTTTGTGTGTGGCCGGCAGATAATGCACCAGTGGCACGGGGGATCAAAAAAACATGTAAAGAAAAGGCTACCATGCAGGTCGTAGCTGCTAATACACTGCAAGGAAATGTTTGTTTGTTGGGAAGGAAGACTTTGTATTGTAAAATTGGTTCTGAGAGCGATTAAAGCTGCAGATTATAATGGTACTTCTATGCCAGAGCTGAGATTTGCAGCCAATCTTGGAGCGATCTATGCTAAAGTATAACTAAATATCCTTAAGTCCAGCTAAAATCCAACTAAAAACTGGCTCATTCCACGCCCCAAAGTGTACTCCGAACTGCCCTTGACATAATTCCACTTGTAGGGTATTTTAAGCGACAGAAAATTTGTTTAAATTTGCTCTTTCTTTTATGGAGTAAGCTGCACAAAATGTAAAGCTGGCAGCAAATATGCTAGAGGTAGCATTACGTTTGACTCGTTCACTGGAAATCGCACAAGAGCTTTACACTTGCCTTATGTAATGTAATCGATTCTCGTTTCGACTCTTTCAGCGGCCACCATAATCACGTTGCGTGGTGCCAGCTATGTGTCCTATCGTATCTACGACTGGAAGGATCGCGTGCACTCCTCCACGATGCGCATCAGCCTGATGTTTCGCACGAACTTTGATGATTCGGCGTTGTTCTATGCCAGCGGTGAGTCACTGAAGCATCAGTATATAGCGGCGGCCATCAAAAACCAATCGATCCATGTGGAAATGGACTTTGGTGACCATGTAATGGCCACTGTGCTCACGGATGATCTGACGCGTGGCTACTGGCACAATCTCACCATACTCCATGAGCAGCGCACGGTGAGCATTATCCTCGATCAGCAGCAGAAGGTGCTCGAGCTGCCGGCCACGACGAGTGGCAATTTGCTTTTCGATCCGGAGATTTACTTTGGCGGCGGCCCCGAGCTGCACAAGAAGAAGGGTTTGGCATCGCACAACAATTTTGTGGGCAGCATGAAGTATGTCTACTACAATGACATTTCCATACTGTACGAGCTGCAGCGAGGCAATCCCAAGATGCATTATCATGGTGAGTCCAAAGACATTTGTGTGTCAAAGGCAATTCATTCACTTTGCTAACGTTTCTGCAGGTGTCCTGGAGGCAGAGTTTCTGGAGAACGAAGTGAATGTCATACCCATAACATATCCCTTTGCGACGTCACACATTTGGTGGCCCATAAATCACGCCGAAGAATTTAATATTAAATTCGATTTCCGCAGCAGTCGGCCAGGCGCTGTGCTGGCCTACAGTGACGTAACGACCAGTGCCGGAAATGGCTTCTGGGAGGTAAGTGTTCGTTCAAGCATTCAACCATATATGATGCAGACACACACAGGCGTACACAAATGTACGTGCAACATTGCTTGAGCTTATGAACTCAGCTCAGGACATGGCTGACGCTGACATGCTGCTTAAGACGGGACTTAGCAAAAGGGCAAGAGAAATGGCAGAGAAGTGGCTTGGGTAAGGTGAGGCAGTGGCAGTGGTACACCTTGGACGTAGGTCGAGCCAGCCACAGAAGCAATGGCAAATGAAATGCAAATCAAATGTGTGTGTGTGTGCATCGCATGCCTGTTCAATATTTATCCTCTCTCTCTGCCTCCACCATTGCGGGGGCGATACACACACACACACACACACACAGAGGCAAGGAGAATTTGTAACCAACAATTCGAAGGCATGTGGAGAATGCAATTAAATTTAAGCGTTGCTGAGTGAAATTCGACTCTCTGAATGGGAAAACTACAATGAGGCTTAGTCGAGACATAAACTTTCCCTTTATTGGCGGCACTTGATACTCTTGCTGTAATAATTTGCTACTTTTCAAGACAGCATCAACATCATGGAAAAGGCGCAGGCAGTCCAAGACGGGGCAGTAGGTACAGTAAACACAGATCCCATTCGCCGACGGTATATTTCTTGATGGAAATATGATTGTGACAGCCGGAGGGGGTGGTATCTACCAGAAAAAATTCTTTTAAATGTGGAAAACCCATCGAAATGTATACATATTTTGGCCCAGAGTACATAAATGAGATGCGATAACACAACAAGCGTCGCTCCAGTATGTGTCGATCGGCATCCAAATAGTCAAGAACGGTCTTTGCATAACTGCTCCTCTCTTCGGTGTATATGACGAGCGAGTACATTTTGGAAACACTCTCAAGAAAGTGATCGAGAAAGGGACGCTTGTAGACTCGCAATGTGAACTCGTAGTCGGGTACTTCGATCTCAAAGTCATAGGGCACACCGCACAAGCCACTCTTCCGTGGCTTGCATGTACAACGTACGAATTCGAGATGTACTAATGCCCTCAAATCCACTACCAATATCTTCTTGTTTACGTGCAAGAGTCGACGCTTTGGTTGCACCGGATTGTAGTCGAAATTTTTGATCATCATGTTGGAAACTGTTTTAAAAATCATATGGAGCAAGCAATTGAAAGGTTCCTCTGCATAAGGTCTCACAAGCGTTCCAAGAAACAAAAGACCCAGGACAAGCCATGTATGCTTTGTGCCGAAGCTAGAAAGATGAGAAACATCATATGTAAATGAGTATGTGTAATGATTAAATTAATGTTTACTTACATAAAGAAAAACCATGAGAAATCATGAGAGGAAATCGTGCCGTTTGTTATTTCAAACATATTTTAAACCTAGATTTGTAATCGTTAATGGCAGAAAGTTGGAAAATAATTTTAAACGTGTAAAGTAAAGCCAACTAGATCAAGTATCTGATAGTCCCGTACTGCAACCGATTTGTTAGAATTCTTGGCGGAGAGTAGGCTTGTCAGCCCGTGTGGTAGCGTACACCCAGCGAAAAAACAGAATCGAATGGTTACACTTGTGCTTAAAAATGTATGCCAATCGATTTGAAACGAAAGATGAAACTGTAAAAAGAAAGTAAAAATATTTGCTACACATATATTTCCCATGTAATTTCACCCTTTTTATACCCAAAACCCGAATATGTACTGCCATTTTTCTGTGGGTGTAGGCTTTGCCTGTACTCTTTGCAAGATCTCTCTCTCTCTCTCTCTCTCTCTGCCTCTTCTCATATTTGCTGATTTTCTTTGGAGTCTTATCTGGTGTTCTCTTTGCTTTGCACTCACAGACATGGCAGACTGGACTGCAGATAACTCACACACTGCAGCTGCAGCTTTATCTTACTCTTTTTCGGCATGCACAGCCATTCTCTGTGGTTACATCTTTCTCTTTTTCCTTTTTTGCTTAGATCTAAGTGATTGCGCCACAAAAAGAAAAAAAGAGAACGAATAAAAAAACGAACGTCCATCAGGATATTAACCAGAATAGCCTCGAAATTGTTTCTGTCCTTTGTGAATGTCGTCCATCCCGGGCAATTTATTTGAAATAACAATTTTTGTAGATTTATGTCATTGCCGCCGCATAACAATTGAAAGCAAGTTAAATGCTGCCATGAAATGACAATTTATAACCAGAGAGCAATTTCCAAAAAGAGAGCAAAAAGTGGTGGTGGTAGCGAGGGAAGGAGGGAGGTAAGCGAGGAGAATAAAACAGATTGGGGCCCAAGCATAAAAGTGCGTGCAATCGATCACAAAAACAATTCAACAGTTTAAGGCCTGTTAGGGTACAGTGTCCAGATACTGCCTGCAAGCTCTCCGCCGCTCCCACTCTTAGTTTTGACTTTAGTGCCAGCATGTGTGTGGGATGCACAGTTGAAAAAATTACCAAACAATGTCTAAAGTATTGCAAAACCTTGCGCTAATTGCATACAATGAATTTTCTCAGTGTACTTTGACTTCTTCGCCCGCATCTCTCTCTCTCTCTCTCTCTCTCTGTGTGTTGATGTTTCTATGAATGTCCGTAGCATTTATCTGTATTTAAACAAATAAACCTCGTCTTGGCCTGGCCGAAAACGTTTATTTGGTTACTTGGCATTTTGGAAATGCACTAAAAGGGAATATGCACACACACACACTCAAATGTAAGCAAAGAAACATACATACTTATATGTATGCATATGCAGAGAGAGAGAGAGAGAGATGTGTATTTATTTGCATTTTATTGTTGATTTTGTTCCTTTTGATTGCAAGACATGCTCTCCCTCTCTCTCTGGGCTGTCCAAAATAAACTGCTGCAGAACCTGACTTATTGGCATTGCAATAAAATGCTACTGTAATGCCTAATGAATATTTATGCCCAAAGCCATTTCATTTTGCATCGAGAGACAGAGAGAGAGGAGAGAGAGAGAGAGCCCCGTAGGGCTTATTTGACACTGCCATGCCACGATTTATGCGACACCCAAATTAATACTAAATTGATTGTGTCAGGTTTTTATAATATGACTGACCGACACGCCGCCACACCGCACGTACCTTTTCATACCTTTTTTCGGATAAATAAGTTAAATAACGTCACAGTTAGTCATACGTACTATCTAGATATTTGTTAACTACACACATACTATCTGTGCATCTGCATCGGCGTTGGCACTTCAAAAACGCATCAGTTACCAGAGATTTTATTTATTTACTGTTTTGCCCCGTCGGACACTGGCCACAAAATTGCCACCTGCGTGCCGCGTTTTGACGCTCAACAAACTAATAAATTGCCAGCAGGCGATATCTGTCTATGTGTAGGTCTGTCTCTGTATTTTTGTGTCGCGTGCTCTCTCGCTCGCTAGCGTAAAAAACATGCAGTACGATTTTAATTGGTTTTTAGAATTGTGGAATGCCCTGTAGATGGGATTTATGGCATTTAACAGACTACAATTTGAGGCATAAATTCCTTCGTCAATTACTTAGATCTGTATGAAGAGCGGAACAGAAGAAGAGAGTGTGACACAGAAGAGTAAGATTAAGAGCGTATGATATGAATAACACATCAACCACAAAGAGCATGAAAAGGAACTGCGAGAAGAGAGATCTTGCTCTTCGCTCTCCCACTCTGACTACGGCTGTGCTTCGGCTACAATTTAAACCGTAAATGGAGTCTTAATTTCTCTCTCTCTCTCTTAACAGTTACCTGTAAACAATATACCCCGTACAGTAGAGACAAACAAGTGTATGCAACACAACATGGAATGTCATGTCACATGCGTGACAAGGGAATAGCCTGAGGGGGGGCGGGGTGGTATGGGGCCATAAAAACTATGCGCCCGCATAAATCGCGAATCACAAATCGAAAATCGAATTTATTGACAGCGCGCAAATGGTCGAAATAGGCAAACAACAGCACACACACACTCCGCGGCAGCAGCCGCAGTCACAGTCGCGGGTGTAGAACTAATAAAAATCATTTGAAATATTGTCACAGTATACAATGTAGATGTGTTAGTGTATATGTGTGTGCATGCATGGTTGATGGTAAGTTGTGTGGGTGTGTGAAAACTGTGTTTGCCTTTAAACATAACGCTTGCTCAGTGCCAAAAATCTAATGAAATATGCAATAAAATTTGAGTGTTTGTCATTTCGCATAAGCGGCGCAAAAGCGCAATTCACAATAAGCATAGATAAATGGATGGCACACACACACACACACACACCCAAATACATTATCATACATACATATGTATCCATGTTCCATTCAGTTTAAAAATTGATGCTGCATTGAGCCGAAAACCCAGCGAAAGTTCATGAAATTTCCATAAATGTTGGGCAATTTCTTTTTTTTTCGATTTGCAATAATAATAGACTGCACAGCAAACAGCGTGAAAAACCAATGTATGGATGTCAAATTAGTTGGATTATGATACAGAAGCGAAATGTTGTTTGTGGATAAATATTCTTGTGTATTTATGGTGTGCCATCGATCATTTGGAATGGGTTCTGTGAGAAGTTGTGGCGAATTTTTCTAGTCAGATTTGTGTTATTTGGGGGCTAAAGATACGCCTCAAGGGAAGAACAGTAGTTCCTTAACAGTAGGCGGCTTAACAGTATGTTCATTAACAGTAGGTTCCTTAACAGTTGTTCGATTTCTATGCCAAAAGATTTAAGAGATATTCCCACATTTGGCTTGTAGGTTTTGCAGATTTTCAATGCAATAAACTGTAACAAAAGGAATATAAATGGTGTATATTTATATTTATGGATAATCTCAAAACCCATTCAAAGAACTAGATCCTGCAGCTCAACACATTTCAACTTTATTCCAATAATAATTATAGTCCCCCGTATGACAACAAGCTTAGAGCATAGCTAAATGGATGAAAAGACAAACAGACATGCACATAGAGACAGAAACAAATAAATACCAGAGAGAGAGTGAGAGACAATCGTGGGATAATATCCAACCCACCAACCGCCACTCCCACGTTTTATGGCTGCAACGATTTGCTGCAAATTAATGGCCAACAATTTCCACAGCGCCGAGAGAGAGAGAGAGAGAGAGAGAGAACTCTCGTTCCCGGACGAGCTGGCAGATTGATTCGGCAGATGCTGGGAGCCGAACGTGGCCACGTGGCGTATGCATAATATGATTTAAGCGCAGCTAATGCACAAAAGCATTTAAATTGAAATGGGTGTGTGTCTGCTAGAGGGGGCTGCATGAGTGTATGAATGTTTGCCTGTGGTGCGGCTGGCTGTTTGGGAATTGCTGCATTTTAGGCATTTTCGCAATTTTGATTTATTTTCCGCCCCCCCCGTCCCCCCACACACCAGTTAGAGGAAACCTCAAAAGCAGCGCCATTGAAACTCCCAAAATGCTAACAGAATTTTCTATTTTTCTATGATTTTTCTCCCCCCGCTCTCTCTCTCTCTCTCTCTCTCTCTCGTTTTACATGTGCAACGCTGATGCCCGACGACGATGACAAAAACTAATATTTGGAAATACGCTAATGCGCGCGGGTTTTTTGTTGTTGGATGCTGGAACGTGCAACGACGACAATGACCTGATAAAACACGTTCCCGAACTACACTGCCGAATCCTAACGCCCAACAAACGATAACTCAATGGAAACTACCGGAAATGTAAAACTGACGGAAATTACAAAATGGTGGAACCCATAGATACGTCTCACATCGGACAAACTAAGCTTCGATCTGGTGCCCGATGTGAACAACAATGTGACCCATTCGACGACCATCAAAATCAATCGTGCCACCTCCTGGCACAGCGTCGAGGTGGACTATAAGCTGGGCGAGATCCGGTTCACGGTTGACTATCGGCACACCCTCAGCCAGATGTTCGGGCTGACCTTTAACATTGGCGACAAACTCATCATTGGCAGCAGCTTGAAGTCAGCGGCCATGGGCCTGGTGGGCTGCATACGTGACATTGAGATCAATGGCCATCTGATTGAGCCACGGCATGTGGTCAAGACGGAGCGTGTGGTGGGCGAGGTGGCGCTGGATAATTGCAATTACATTGATCCCTGCAAGCGGCCCAATACCTGCGAGCATGGTGGCAAGTGTTTCGTCAAGGACGATCGCGTCACCTGCGACTGCAAGCACACGGGCTACATCGGCAAGAACTGTCACTTTACGAAGTATCGCAAGACCTGCGAGGAGCTGGCGCTGCTCGGCTTCACCAAATCGGATGTCTACCTCATTGACATCGATGGCAATGGGGTGTTTCCGCCGGCGCATGTCAAGTGTGATTTTCAGAGCCTGGAGAATGCCACCAAGACAATTGTCGAGCACAATCTGCCCAGCCAGGTGGATGTGCGGTCTGCCCGGGAGTCGGACTTTAGCTTTAACATTCGCTACCGCGAATTCTCGCCGCATATGCTGCAGGAGCTCATCTCGCACTCGCTCTACTGCACGCAGTACATCAAATACGACTGCTACCGGGCCCAGCTGGAGCTTCATTCGGCCACCTGGTTCACGTCCTCGGCCAAGAATCTCACTGTGGATTTCCTTGGCAATGTGAAGAGGTAAGTGGTTGGATGAATGGATATGTAGCTCAGGTCAGTTCGCTTCTGCCTGTGGGTCTTTAGGGGGTATTTGTGATTTACGTGCCGCCACGTCACCACGTCACCGCAAACAACACAAAATTGGATGACAAGAGCAGGCAGCAGACACGACAGCACATGGCAGCACAGTGGTTGCAAAATGTGGGCAGACTCGAGATTATTTGATGGGATTTTGTGGCAGAAGTTTTGGTTATGTAAAGAGACATTCATTAGGTTTATTTACTTTAATTGGAATCAAGATATTTACGGGCATTTTTAATGAATGTGGCGTAGAGGAGGTTTAGCTTTAGTTGTGTGATAAAAGTGGGTGACAGGAGCAAGGCGTTGGCAGAAATATATTAAATATTAAAGTATTTAGAGTAAAGTTTTTGCTAAAGTTTTGTCTGTTGAAGCTTGGATTTAGTTGTACTTTGAGCACACACAAAATAGCTATCAAAAGAGGTTCAGATAGGTGCTTCTTGCACCTTTATTTCTATAATTATCTTGACATTTTGCGTGCACTGGCTTGATGCCACTGTAACTGGGCTTAGTCCTGGGCTATGCACATGCCGGCTGTCTGGCTGGCGGGTGATTTCGGTCCACCGCTGGCCACACAATTAATGTTGCAGTCTATTTGCTTAACTTGTTGTTGCCCTGCCCCTAGGCAGGCAGTGCAGCCATCCAGTCAGCCAGCCAGCATCCCTTCCGTGTCCAGCCACTGCAGCAGAATGCATGGATGTGCGTCTGTGTGTGTTCTGCTTCAGTGGATTCTGTACGTGCGGTAATCCAACAATGCTCGTATAAATCCAGAAATTGCTAGAGAGCGAGGGAGCGAGAGTTGTTGGTGCTGGTATTGTCTTGGTGCCTGGCATTTCAATTGTAAACGTAACTTAAATTAATTGCTCGAACATGCATAATATAGATGCCAGGCAGGAACCTGCGCTTAATGCTAACTGACATATTTACCCACACGGGGGATGCATCATTCCCAGATGCACACAAACAGACACACTCACACTGTGTGTGTTGTTATGCCTCTTCCTGTTGTTGCAACGTTCACTTTCATAAGGCATAACGCATCGATTTCCATGCCACTGGAGCACTGGACTCTAACTCCAGTCCAGTCCAGTCCAGCTGTCGTTCACTCTACTTGGTAGCCATCTGTCTGGCTATCTGCTAGTTGCTGCTGCGTCTGTGGCTGTGGCTGTGTCTGTGTGTCTTGTTGCATAATTTGTTATGGATTTCGTTTGGGCTTGGGCCCACTGAGCAGCCATCTCTGGCTCCATCTTGTTGGTCAACTATGGCCAACATCTAGTGTTGGTTTAGCTCTTCAAATTTGATTTTTCACATGTGCCTCTGTCTGTGTAGGAGTATGTTTGCCTGCCTGCCAGCATCTGCCTGTTTGTGCCTGTTTTGTGCCCTTTTAGCCAAGTTATATTTGCGGCATTTGTTGGCCAGGCATTGGTGCATGAAATTTTATGGTGCCGAAAGGCAAACACCGAAGCAAAGTCTCCCTACGGAATGCCCTTCTCGGGCTGCCCAAATGGGAACAAACGGGCTGTGGCAACGCAGCTACCCCAAGCAGCTGGATGAGCCACAAATACGCTTTGGAAAATTGCAAAAGTGCAAAACAAAAGGAGTCGTCGAGCTTCCCTTTTTGTGGGTGGTATTTATGTGTCAGGCAAATATGTTTCCGGCTGAGCGCTAATAAGGTTTATGAGCGAAGACCCACACATATATCTTCACATCAGTGCCGCCAGATTGTCGAACAACTCTTTTTTTTTTGGCTTTCTTTTTGTGCTGTTGCAAGTTTTTCCATGGGTAATTTTTCTTCTTATGGCAGGCACCGAGACCTTTTTTGGTTGCTGTTTCAAAATGAATGGCTCTGAGAGAGGCACACAAATTTAGTCTTTACGCCTAATTTCTTTGCCGCTTGAAAAACTCATTCACATGAGTTGGGGGCTCCTCCGTTGCGTGGGGCGATGGGGGAGGCAACCCTTTGACAATACATCATGCGCAGCAAAGTAGGCAACATCTGGTGGCAAGCAATTTCCAGTCGCTTGTTGCCTGCCTTTTGCCTCCTCTTTTTTGTGTTTTGCCAGGCTGCGTCACTAATTTCCGCTTTCACTAAATCAATTCCCAAAAAAACCTGAACAGCGCTTGACTTTGGTTTTTCTTTTTCTGCCCCTCCCCGTTCTGGTTTACAAAAACCAGAGAGAGAGAAATGCGAAAAAACGAGTTAACTTCTCTTTGCCAGCGCAGAAGAACCATTGAGCTATCCATCATTGGGGCTCGTCGTTTGGTCTTTACTCATTCAAAATTTGACAGCATCGTTTGTTTGTTTGCTGCTGCTCCTGTTGCGGCTTCGCTTCGTTTCGGAACTTGCAACGCTGAGGCGGAAACGGATGCGGCACAAACCCAAACCGCAGCCAAAACAGTGGAATAGAGTGGCGGCCAGCCGCAAGAACAGGAGCCAACCGATACGGATACCCTTTATAATGGAACAAATTGAATTGCTGCTAATGAAAGTAATAACATTTACTTATGGGTTGGAACTGCCCTGCCCATCACTGGCATAATAATTGAATTTGAGTTGAATGCGCACAGCAATTGCCTGTCACAGATACCGAACCCAAAATTTTGTTGCATACCCCAACGTAACATTTTTGCATAAATGGTGTAACAAAAAGCCAAAAGCGAGGCAGCGATGGGTGGAATGTTTTATAGGGTCAGTCGGGAGAGGGTTCACTCAGTCAGTCAGTCCTTTGGGAAGGCTCACTCAACGGGTTCGTCAAATTGCCGGCAGGAATTCCACATACAACTGAGTGCCAGTGCCACTGGTGCCAGCCCTGTCTCTGCGACTCTCCAATTTGAAATGTATGCAAATGTATGCAAACTTTTTCTAATACCTTTCACCTCTCTGCTTTTTTGCTCTGGCTTTGTAGAGGCGCCTGCCCTTGCTCGGTTAACAAGACGTGCGTGGATCCGAATCAATCATGCAACTGCGATGTGAAGGAGAACAAATGGAATTCGGATGAGGGCTACTATCAGGATCCGCCCAGTTTGGGCATCACCAATATGTACTTCCTGCAGCAAAAGGATCTGGACGATGACTCCCAAGGGCGCATCACGCTCGGACCACTGGAATGTGTAGAGACAAGTGAGAGGCTGCATTCTCTGCCATTAATAACTAACAATTAATGTTGCCATACCCGACAGATACACAGAAATACGTGGTCACCTTCACCACATCGCAGTCGTATATCGAGGTGCCGGGCTGGCGCAAGGGCGACATTGCCTTCTCGTTTCGCACCACCGGGGAGAAGGCCATACTGCTGTTCCAGCCACCGATACGTGCCCACTATCCATCGTTCATGGTGGCCCTCACTGGCGATGACCAGCTCACGTTCACCTTTACGCTGAGCACGGGCACGACGCGGGAGTTGGTCATTAACTCGCACCGCCGGCTGAATGGCGGCGAATGGCATAAAATATGGATCGACTACAACCAGTATCATGTGCGCTTCATGATAAACACCGATTACCAGATGCTCGATTTGCTGCCCGAGGAGGAGTTTGGTCCATTCGAGGGCAGCATGTACATTGGCGGCGCCACATTGTGAGTAGCATGGGGCAGGGTGGTAATCAGACATTGGTTTTTATGGCCAACTGCAATGTGTGGCAGTAGCAGCAGCAGCAGCAGCAGGAACAGCTGTAATAATAATCGCTGTGGAAAAACGCCATTGGAGAAATGGTTGCAGTCGCTTGTTGCTGCTGCTGCTGCTGCCTTTGCCTTTTCCCCCTCTGTCAGTTTGCGGTTTGTGCAATTTATTGCGGCAATTACGTTTTAATTATAAACGCCCGACTAGCTGCCAAGCATCCCTAACAATGACACTTTTGTCCGTCCGTCCGTACGTCCGCGTGCAGCCAAAGGAATCCAATCGCGCGGAGTGGCTGTGCTGCGGGGTGGTGGGAGGGGCGCTGCTTTGGCCACGCACCGTTGAGCGATACAGTTCGATTGATAATTGGGGCGGGGCGTGTGGCCTCTTATGAAGATAATTACAGATTGATGGCATTCATTCCATTCGCTATTCGCTGTGTCATTTGCGAAATGCGATAACTACGCGCATAACCTGAAGCGAAACAAAACCCAAGTTTCGGATTGTTTGTCGCTTCAATTGTCTTTAAAGCGTTTGATAGAAAGAGAACCGCAGAGGAGAGTAGCACTGCTTTGATTCTCTTTAAAGCAGTTGCTGGAGTTCATGGAAAGAGAGCGATTGAGAGCAGCTGTAAATTCAAGCACAACACTGCTTTAATCGCTTCTACTGCTTACACTGCTTCCCCACCCAAACTGCTTAAGCAACAGCAAAAGTCCATGCGCTGCCCTCTAATTCATTTTATTGCATTTATATTTGCATTTCATCAACTTTTATTTACCGCAAAAATGTAAATCTATTTTAGCATCTATTTTATGTTTGCCGCTTTCGCCCACTCGTAACTTTTACTTCATAATTTAACATTTATTTTCTGATGGTTTTTTGCGCACAAAAGTTTCGCTTAATCAAAAGTATAATTTGTATGCCCAAGTGGCATGCCAGCCAGCCAGTCAGCCAGCGGCTCTGCCGCCACCGCATTTCCTTTAATATTTATGGGGAACCGCACACACAATCCTTTGGCCCGCACCCACGGCAAGGGCTCAAAAAGAATTGCCATAATTAAATTAACTTCCCCAATGCTGGAAAATTCATTTCAAAGTCATTATCAATAATCAAGCCAAAGCGTCAGAGTAGCGAGTGTAACACACCCCACACACTCTCTGGTTCTGCTACTGGCTGTGCATTTCCCCTCTGGTATTTTTTTCTGTGTGTACAAATAACTCGCTCGCTCGCTCGCCCTGTGGAAGTTCTTTCGCACTTAAAACGCGCTTATTCTTGATTGGCATAATTTACAAAGTTTTTTTTACACACACACACAAACACGAAGCAGGAGGAGGCTTTTGGAGTGCTCCTGGGGAATGCTCATGTCGAGATAGATGGGATAATGTGGGTAAAGCTTTTGAGGGGTTTATGAGTGCACATAATCATACGAATGTGTGTGTGTGTTTTTAATTATTGCAAAATGTGTAAAAATCAAATTGAAATATGTGTGGTTGGGACTTGGGTTTGGGGTGGTAGCAAAATGTGTGCTCATTTGCACTTAAGCCCCAAAAAAAAAAAAAGCAAAAAGCAACCTGTAAGCGACCAACCAAACCATTCATAAAATTTCGATGAGCGGTAAACACGCAGAGTAATTAACGGTAAAGTGCAGTGCTTTATAAAGCCCCAATCCACCGTACAAGCACCAGCTTCAGCTTCAATCTCAGTCCCATTTCCCAGCCCATTTTCGAACGGCGCTGCTCCAATTTTTGTAATACAAGTAATATGAGGGGAAAATGTAATATTGATGCACTTGGGGAACGAACCCGAACCCGAACCCGAACCCTCTCCTGCAGACGTATAAGTATAAGTATATGCAGCGTAAGCCAATAAGCAGAAATC